GAAGACTAAACAATCCCAGTTCTCTCAGCCTCTCCTCATAAGTCATATGCTCCAGACCCCTAATCATTTTTGTGGAGAGGCTGAGGGAACTGGGATTGTTTAGTCTGCAGAAAAGAATGAGGGGGGATTTGATAGCTGCTTTCAACTACCTGAAAGGGGGGTCCAAACAGGATGAATCTAGACTGTTCTCAGTGGTAGCAGATGACAGAATAAGGAGTAATTTTTTCAAGTTGCAGTGGAGGAGGTTTAGGTTGGATATTAGGAAAAACTTTTTCACTAGGAGGGTGGTGAAGCACTGGAATGGGTTACCTAGGGAAGGGGTGGAATCTCCTTCCTTAGAGGTTTTTAAGGTCAGGTTTGACAAAGCCCTGACTGGGATGATTTAGTTGGGGATTGGTCCTGTTTTGTGCAGTGGGTTGGACTAGATGACCTCCTGAGGTCCCTTCCAACCTTGATATTCTATGATTCTATGAATTGACAGCAAGAGCAATAGGACGTAGGTGGAAAAGGCAATTATAGAGATAATTGGGTCCCAGTTACTTTGCAGACATATAAAATGGTTACTAACCTTTCGTAACAGTTGTTCTTTGAGATGTGTTGCTCATGTCCATTCCGTGTTAGGTGTGTGCATGCCACATGTACTGTTGCTGGAGATTTTTCCCTCAGTGAGGTCCATTGGAACAGCTCTAGCACTCTCTGGAGCCACGTGCTTAGGCACTGATATGACGGGTGCTGCTGACTCCGCATCCTCTCAGTTCCTTGCTGGTTAACTCTGACAGAGGGGTAGGAGGGTGGGTCATGGAATGGACATGAGCAACACAACTCGAAGAACAACAGTTACAAAAGGTTAGTAACTATTTTTTCTTTGAGTGCTTGCTCATGTCCATTCCATGTTAGGTAACTCACAAGCAATACTCAAGGAAGTGGGCTTGGAGTTAATGGACATATTGACTACAACACTGCTCTTCTGAAACTGGTATAATCTCAGGCCTCTTCGGTGATGGTGTAGTGAGACGTGAAGGTATGCACCGGTGGCCAGGTTGCGGCGCTACAGATGTTCTGGATTGGGACCTGTGTGAGGAATGCTGCTGACGAAGCCTGGGCTCTTGTAGAATGAGCGGCTAAGATGGTAGGAGATGGGATATTTGCCTGCTCATAGAAAGCTTGAATACAGGCAGTTATCCAGGACGAGATCCTTTGGGTTGATGAAGAGTTGCGTGAATTTGTGTGTTTAGTCCTCTCAGTATAAAA